TGGAGCAAACTTAAATGCATGTTACTAAGTGAAATGAGCCAATCCGAAAAGGCTACATATTGTATGACTGCAACTCTATGACATTCTGGAAAAGGCAAAACGATGACGACAGTAAGCATCAATGGTTGCCAGGTGTTAGGGGAAGGGAGGGATGACCAGGTGGAACACAGAGCAGGGAAGAGCAGTGAAACTAGTCTGCCTGATACTATAACAGTGGATGCATGTAATTACACATTGTCCAAACCCACAGAATGTATAACACCGAGAACAGAATGTAATGTAAGCTACGGAGTCCGGGTGATAATGATGTGTCAGTGTAGGTTCATCAATGTTAACAAATGGGGTGGGATGTTGACACTGGGGGAGGCTGTACGTGTGTGGACAGGGAGTCCATGCGAAGTCTGTGTACTTCCCACGCAATTTTGCTGTAAACCTAAAACTGCTCTAAAGTATAAAGTCTAAAACAGTAAAAGAGGTTCTGCTATACCAGGACTGGGTTATTAAGATCTAAAAATGTAAAGAAGACGTTAAGGGGTTATGTTTAAAAGATAAAAGACAAGAGGAAAAGCAAAAGCATCAGCAAAAGCTGATTTTATGCAGTTAGTCTTGCTTCTGGCTAAGGCAAACGAGCTTGTATCAGACCAGTGGTCTTGCCAAGAACAATTAGAAAAGGTGAATATAAATATATAATATGTCCTGTTTCAACCTCAAAACCTAGCAAGACAGTGAGGACCTTGAGGGAAGGGTAGTCCATGAGCTTAACACTTGGAGCCATTTTTCCCTTCTACGTGTTTATTAGTTTGTAAGCAGTGGCCGGGAGGCTGAGGAGCCAAGCAAAAGCTAAGAGACTTAGAGACTATGCAGAGCCTTTGGCATTCTCATGAGCCTGGGGAGACAAAAATTCCCTGGTAAGCACCACAGAATATCAGAGGAGGCCCTGAAGAGGTACACTGGATGTGGCTTTCTACCAGCTCACAAGAGCGGACTATGGGCATCTCTTCCCAATTCCATGTTCATGTGTGCCACACAGGTAGTTGGAAACGGGCAGCAGTAGATGTATTTACATTATGGAAATGAGCAAATGCTACAAGGAAGAAGCCTTCCCACTGAGAGTCAGTCATTCAATACCCAGCACACCACTGGCTGCATTCAAAAAGGAAGGGCAAACCAGAAATAAACCAATCCTCAGAAAGGCTGAGAAACAGATTCAAAAATCAGTCTCAGACCAATTAAAATAATCAATCCTTACCTGAGAGCCTGGTAGAAGCACAATGAAATCCTCCTGGAGGAAGATACATTACTGTCTAGAACCTATCGTTTCATTTTGTTTTTTAAACAAACAATGGTCACCATTTAACAAAAATGATCACGTACATGGAAAGAAAAGACATGATCAAAATCAAGAAAAAAAAAAAAAGGACAACAGAAACAACCAATATTAGATCCAGATACTGGAGAATTCAGAATGAGCTTTAAGATAACTGAGTAATATGTTCAAAAAATACAAAGGAAAATATGAGGAATTTTATTAGAACACTAGAATCCATGAAGAAAAAAGTCAAATCGTACTGCTAGAAGAAGAAGAAATAAATTAACTAAAAATTAGAAATTTCATAGATGGGTTGGACAGCTGATTGAACACAGATGAAGAGAAGCTTAGTGAACTAGAAGAGCACCTCACAAATATTAATGCATACACAAATCACCTGGAGACGCAGACCCTGTCACCTGTGGTGACAGCAGTGTCCCTCCTCCAGGGACCATGGCATGTTACTTCTGCTGTTGTTGGCCCAGTGACTGCTGTGAGTATCAGGAAACTAAAAAATAGGCAAAGAGAAAAAAAATCCAGAAACCCAAAGAGAACAAAGAATGAAAAGTATAAAAAAGGACAGCATAGACATTGGGGAACATAATGAAAATATCTAACATATATAATTGAAATCCCAGGAGGGATAGAAAATGGAGCCAAAGGAACACCTGAAGAGAGAATGGCTGACGTTTTGCAAAGTTGATGAAAGAGACTGGGGTGGAGTAAAGAAGCCCCAAGAGTTCCAAGCACGATACAAAGAAAAGTATCCAGCAGGGGGCTACAGGAGAGAAGGGCTTGGATCATAAAGATCTATAGATGTGGCTTTGGTCTAACAGAACCAACTCTAGGGAAATCTAGGTAAGACTCACAAAGGTTTTGAGAAAATTGTGCCACCCTCCATGAAAAAAGCAAAGATGACTCAGCAGCAGAACCAAGAAACCAAAGGGCAGAGCATATATTACATTAACAGTCCCAGGGCTTATTCAGAGTCTGTACCCTGGTTGGAGCTGAGGGGTTAAGGGAGCTTGTGGGGCCATCTTGGAGTTCTCCTTACCGTATTAGGCAATTCTGTCAGACATTTAAGGAAGAAATAATACAAATTCTATACAAACTCTTCCACAAAAATGTAGAGAAAGAAATACTTTCCAGTTCATTCTGTGAGGCCAACTTTACTCTCATACCAAAATTAAGAAGACATCACGAGAAAACTACAGATCAAATCCTCCACAAAGATGCAAAAGTTCTTCACAAAATTTTAGCAAATTAACTAAAATAGTATATCAAAAGTAATACATTATGACCAAATGAAGTTTCTCCCAGGAATGCAAGGTTGATTTAAACATCTGAAACCATTCAGTATAGTTCATAGTATTAACAGATTTAACACAAAACAAACTATATGATTATTTCAGTAGTTGAAGAGAAAGTGATGAAGTTCAATTCCATTCATGATTAAAACACACACACACACGCACATGCATGGGCACACACAAGCATGCACACGCACACATACACACATGCGCACATGCTCACACACACAAGCACACACACAAATTCTGGGTAAATTAGGAACAGAAAGGAATTTCCCTAATCCCAAAACCATAGTCAACTTTTATACTGAATGGAGAAATTCTGAAGACTCTTCTTCTGGGTTTGGGAAGAAGAGATAAATGGCCAATTCAATTCAACAGCGTACTGTAAGTCCCAGCCAGTGCAGTAAGACAAGAGATAAAAGTTATGAAGATCAGAACTGCAACTATCAGCAGATGATGTAATTGTATACATAGAAAACTCTGAAGAAAGATCTATAGAGAAATTATTAGAATTACTAAGTGAAATTAGCAAAGTTGACAGGTGAAAGATAAACATACTAAAATCAACCACATTTTTAAATAGCAATAACAATCAAAAAAATGAAAATCAGTCATTCCAATAGTAGCCAGGGAACACGCATGCAGGAACAGAACTGATAAATGATGTGCAAGGCTCGTTACAGTTACAGAAAACTATAAAACATTACTGAGAGAAATTAGAGAAGATTAAAATAAAGAAGAGATACTTTATTCAAAGATGGGGAACCAGATATTATTACAATGTCAATTTCCCCCAAGTGATCTATAGAATCAAAACAATCTCAATCAAAATGCCAGCAAAATATTTTGGTGTAAGTTGACAAAATTAGAAAGGCAAAGGGCCAAGAGTAGTTAGGACAATGTTCAAGGAAAAGAGAGTTGAGAGGCGTATACAGCAGTGTTGATAGCTATTATAAAACTATGATAATTAACATTGTGATCCTTTAGAAAGATGGACAAACAGATCAAAAAACCTGAGTAAAGTTCCGGGAGAGATGCACACATATAGACAGACACCTGATTTATGATAAAGGGGACCAGGAAGAGAGTGGGGCAAGGATGAGATTCCGTAAGTGGCATTAGTGCAAGTGGATATCCCCATAGAAAACAAAACAAAACAAAGCAAAACTCTTGACCTCCACACCTCATGGTGAAACACAGACACATTCCAGGTGGATTAAAGATCTAAAGGTAAAAGGCAAAATAATAAAATTTCTGGATGAGTACACTGAGGGGTGTATTCATGGTGGTATGGGGAAGTAACCTGAAACAGGACCCAAAAGCACCAAAACAAAAGGAAAAATACTGACAAATTCTACCATATTAAAATGGACAATGTCTGGTCTTCAAAAGACACCAGTAAGAAAGTGAAAAGACTGGTTACAGAAGGAAGAAGATATTTAAATTACCATGACTAACAAGGGACTTGAACTCCGAATGCACAAAGAATTCCTACAAATCAGAGGAAGGGGACTGGGGGTGGGGGACAAAGGAAAGAGGTAAACCAACAGATAAATGGGCAAAAGGTTTGAATAGAGACTTCACGAAAAATTATATCCAAATATCCAATCAACATAAAAGCAGCATTCGATATCATTAGTTAACAGGGAACTATAAAACCACAGTTAGATTACAGTACATTCCCATCAATATGGCTAGTAACAGAAACATAACAATGACAAGTGTTGGCAAGAATATGGAGCTACTAGCATGTTTATATATTGCTGATGGAAATGTAAATTTACTCAAGTATTTGGGAAAACTATTTGGCAATACAAAGCAGATCCACTGTATTTCCTATGACCCAGAGATTACACTTCTTGCTACACACCCAGCAGACATGTTTGCGTAGATGAGTCAGACAAAAGGTCTAAACAACGCGGACAGCAGTATCAGTTGCTATACTAGTAGGAAGGTTGGACATACCCAATTCTCTTTTCACATGAAGATGGATAAATGTGCGTGCAAAGGAATACTATATAGCAATGACAATGGATGAACCATAGCTACCTGCAAAAACAGACTAGTCTCACCAACATAATATTGATAAAAAAAAAAAACAAAAAAAACCCGGGGGCTGGCGGGAGATGCTCCAGGACAGCCGGTGCCTGAGTATTTCAGGACAGATCAGAAGGACTATCACAATGCCTGAAATAAATACTGACAATCCCAGTGAGCAACAGGTTCAACTCTGGGCAGAGAGACATATAGATGTTTCAGACATGAAATCTTAGGAAAGCTGTATTATCCTCAAAAGCAGTATAATAATAAACAATGAAGAAAAGGATGAAAATTATTTATTGACCAAGCTAAATGTTTTATAAAAGTCAGTAGAAAAAGCCATTTCTTGTTAACCCTGAACAGTGAACTTAAGACTTCAGGCAAGAACTGTGTGGCAAATATTAATTTTACTGAAACACAAGGACAATAAAAAGAATTACCACATTAAACACACAAAAAGCCAGACATTCAAACACTCATGAATTCTTCCATTTATATCAAGTTTAACAACAGGGCAAATGAAGGTCTGGGGTTAACATAAGGGATAGTGGTTTCTGGTAGGGAATGGGAAGGGCAGGATGGGGAGCTCTGGGCTACTGGTAACGTTCTGTTTCTTCCTTTTCCCCGGGGGGGGGGGGGTGGTGCAGGGGGGACACGGGAGCATTCACTTTAGAAAAATGTACATGTACAGCTGTACATGTTTCTGTGGGTATGTTACAAATCAAAAACCTTTCTTATTAAAGAAGTAAAGTTTAAGTAAGAATGGACTGAACTCTAAGGACAAGAGATCAGTAGTTTCCAGGACGTGGGGAGGGAGGGAGGAAGGAGCTACAAGAAAGTAAAAAGGACATTCTGGAGAGCTGTTGGAACCATTCCAGCCCTCAACTGTGGGAGCAGTTACACTAGTGGGTGCATTTGCCAAAATTCGAAGAACTGCAGACCAAAAAAAGGGAATTTTGCCATATGCAATAAAAGCAATTATAATTTAGGGCGCCTGGGTGGCTCAGTTGGTTAAGCGACTGCCTTTGGCTCAGGTCCTGATCCTGGAGTCCCTGGATCGAGTCCCGCATCCGGCTCCCTGCTCTGCAGGGAGTCTGCTTCTCCCTCTGACCCTCCCCCTCTCATGCTCTCTCTCTCAAATAAATAAAATCTTTAAAAAAAAAAAAAGCAATTATAATTTAGATATAAAAATAAGGAATTAATTTGACTTATTTCTATGTTTGTGAAAAGTTGACTGCCCATGGTGCGATAATCTGCTTTCTTCATGGATTAAATAAGAAATAAAATTAAACAGTCTACCTGTGAAATGTTTTCTTACTTTGTATACACAGAAACTCGTCAAGTAAAAATGTCAAAATTTTTGAGAAAACAAAGAATGATATTCACTTCAGTTTTATTGGGGAAAACAGACTTTAAAATATATTATATCTATCTATATATACAAATAAAAAATATATTTGGTTTTTCAACCAAATGTTGAAATAAAAAATCTGTATGTTTTATGTTTGATATTCACATATGGCATAATAGAAAAAAATAACAAGCTCTGGGTTATTCCTTTTAGTATTTATTCATGTAAGCTTTGAGGAAAATTAATGGTAGAGCATAATTTCTTTTAGTTATTTGAAACAAAACAAAAATTTCAGTTAAAAACATATGACTTCCTCTTAAAGCTTATTAACATTTTTTCATCTTTAGCCAACAAATCTTTAAGAACATTAATTTCTGAGGCATTCTGGAAAACAGGTTGCCTTTACTGGATCTCAAACTTTTTCACATTCATCTTAAATTATCTTATTCTAATACATTTCTGAACATGTAAGGATGAAATTAAGTTGAGGTTCATTTGTGTAAAAGCAACACAAATCTGAAATAGACAGATGGATGGCAAACATCAAATCTGTTCCATGGAAAAGAAGGGAAGACGTGGGGCCCCCAGTAAGTAACAAATTACAGAACTCAGCTAAACATGAAGCTTCTTTTGCTCACAGATGTCTAAATGTTGCCTTCTTTTCAAATATCCAAGATTTCTCTTAGCAACACAGGTGCTACCAGATTATTATTTTTCCCCAGTGTCATCTGAATCCCACTCCTCGAAAGAAAAAAAGGTGATATTTTAGTTGCCTAAAGTTATTCAAGTCATCCAATATTCCCCTGCCCCGGCCCCATCTTGAAAAACTCTCTAAATTGTTTAACTTAAAAGTGATACTACGAGCCAGTTGTGTCTATTTATTTGAGAGAGAAAGAGCACAAGCAAGGGGAGCGGCAGAGGCAGAGGGAGAGGAAGGCTCCCCGCCGAGCAGGGAGCCCGATGCGGGGCTCCATCCCAGGACCCCGGGACCGTGACCTGAGCCGAAGGCAGACGCCCAACCGACTGAGCCAGCCGGGCGCCCCTGAACCAGTCGTGTTAAGGGAAGCAAGCGAGCTGCCTTTTTGTAGCTACTGGCTGATGAACCCAATACTTTGCAAGAGAAATATCTTACCACTTGTGCTGGAACCTGTGGGATTTTTGCAGCAGGAGTTCCTGGTCTTGGGTAAAACTGGTTAATAAAGAGGCTTGGAAATTTGTACTCTTCCACAAGCTTCACTGTTTCTTGAAAATCTTGATCTGTTTCTCCAGGAAAACCACAGATAATATCTGTAGCAAGAGTTATTCCAGGAACTCTAGAAAATAACACGACAAAAATGTAGAAAGCTGAATACAATCCATAATTATTCTATTTCTCTGATATTTTAAATGCCATAATTCCTTTTAAAACTAAATTTTTTTAGGAAAGGGACATTTGCAAAGAGTATTTATAGAGTCCTAAATATTAAAAAAGTTTATGGGCAACAGTGGCTCCTGTCATCCTCAAGGGACACTCATTTTTAATTCTTTTGAATGTTTCTTTGTTCTTTTTTTCTATATTTTAAAACCCATGCTTATTCTGCTATTTCCAGGCTTACTGATTTTTAAGCAATATTTACTAACTTCTCTAGTATGGTAAATGAGGATTTAGCCCCTTAAGCAACTCTCTCTCTCCCCTCCTAACATAACCAATGCACAGTTGTTGTTGTTTCTTTTTAAGATTTTATTTATTTATTTGACAGAGAGAGACACAGCGAGAGCAGGAACACAAGCAGGGGGAGTGGGAGAGGGAGAAGCAGGCTTCCCACCGAGCAGGGAGCCTGATGTGGGACTCGATCCCAGGACCCTGGGATCACGACCTGAGCAGAAGGCAGACGCTCAATGACTGAGCCACCCAGGCGCCCCATCACTGCACAGTTTTAAAATTAATTGCATTTCCATTAGTATAACTGCAAAGATATTGTTCACTGCAGAGCCAACTGGTATACTTCATCATGTTTTCTTTTGCTACAATGTTTAATTTTTCCAAGAGTTAATAACACTCTTTTAAATAAATTTTTGCCTCATATTCCAGGTACCTATGTTCACATTTTCTAGAAGCTCCATGAGATCCATCAAAAACCAATACTGTTGGCGGAGCAAGATGGCGGAGGAGTAGGAGACCTGGATTTCGTCTCCTCTCAGGAATTCAGCTGGATAGGGATCAAACCATTCTGAACACCTACAAACTCAACAGGAGATCGAAGAAAGGAAGAGCAGCAACTCTCTCATCGGAAAAGCGACCACTTTCTGGAAGGTAGGACGTGCGGGGAAGTGAATCCGAGGCGATATTCAGATGATAGACGGCGGGGGAGGGGTCTCTGTCGGCCGCTTCTGGCAAGTGATAGAGCGCAGAGCACAAAATCGGAACTTTTAAAAGTCTGCTCCGCTGAGGGACGTCACTCCGGTGGCTAAGCGGGGGGTGGAACCCTCCAGGACAGTGTGGTCTCAGGACCCTCGGGGTCACAGAAAGACCGGGGGTGCCTGAGTGGGGCAGAGCTCCCAGGTAACGGAGCAGGGAAGCGGCTGCAGAGGCGGAGCCCAGGCGCGGGCTCTCAGCTCGGGGTGGCCCTAAACCGTGATCCGCGCGGCACAGTCGGGCCCCTGCTCCTCCAGCAGGGACCCAACAAGCGGCAGATCCGGGGAGACTCACCTTCCTCCCCCGGGAGGAGCCGCACGGGAGCACACCGCAGGGATCTGCTGGGTTTGGAGACTCCACCCGGGGTCGGGTGCCAGAGATAGAAATGCGCAGTCACAGGCCGGGTGAGCACGGAGTGCGGCCGGAGACCGGGGAGACGGGAGTGACTGACGGCTTTTCTCTGGGGGCTCACTGAGAAGCGGGGCCCCGAGTTCTCAGCTTCTACGGGGCAGAGATTGGGAGGCCGCCATTTTCACTCTCGTCCTCCAAAGCTGTATGGAAAGCTCGCAGGGAACAAAAGCTCTGGAGAGCAACCTGAGCAGATTACTTAGCCTGGACCGGACAAGGGCGGGGCAATTCCGCCTCCGGCAAAGACTTTTGGGAACCACGGCAACAGGCCCGTCCCCAGAAGATGAGCGAGAACAGCCAGCCAAGACCAAGTTTACCGATCAATGAGAATGGCAGAACTCCAGCGCTAGGGGACTACTGCACATAGAATTCACGGCTTTTTTACCATGATTCTTTAGTCTTTCAAAGTTAATTTTTTTTTTAACTGTCTTTTTTTCTTTTTTTTTTTTTTTGAATTTTTCTTTTTCCCTTTTTCAACCAACATCTTATCAATCCCCTTTTTAAAAAAAAAACATTTTTATTTTTCATTTTTAGAGTCATATTCTATCCCTTCATAGTAGTTACCCGTATTTTTGGCTTATATAGATAAGTTGTTCTCTCTTTAAAATTTTGAGATAGTTTCTTCTAACAGATTAAAATATACCCTAAATCTCTAGTATATAGTGTTTTCTATTCCCCTGCCTGATCACATCCTCTCCCTTTGTTTTTTCTTTTTTCTTTTTTTAAATCCTCTTCTTTCTCTTTTCAAACAACTTCTTATCAATTCCTTTTATAAAATTTTTTATAATTTCCATCTTTACAGTCATATTCCATCCCTTCATCATATCAACCCTTATTTTTGTACATATATAAGTTTTTCTTTCTTTAAAATTTTGGGAGGCACTTTCTTCTAAAAGACCAAAATACACCCCAAATCTAGTGTGTGGCACTGATCTATATACCAGCCTGATCATATTTGATCACATTCTGTTTTTGTTTGTTGTTGTTTTTTTGTTTTGTTTTTGTTCGTTTTTATCTTTATCTTTTTCTTTTTTCTCTCTTTCCCTTTCTTTTCCCACTGCTTCAGGTCTTTTCTGATTTGTTTAGAGTATATTTTCTGGGGACGTTGTTACTCTGCTAGCATTTTGTTCTCTCATTCATCTATTATCCTCTGCACAAAATGACAAGACGGAAAAAATCACCTCAACAAAAAGAACAAGAGGTAGTACCGACTGCCAGGGACCTACTCAATACGGACATTAGTACGATGTCAGATCTAGAGTTCAGAATCATCACTTTAAAGATACTAGCTGGGCTTGAAAAAAATATGGAAGTTATTAGAGAAACCCTTTCTGGAGAAGTAAAAGAACTAAAATCCAACCAAGTAGAAATCAAAAAGGCTATTAATGAGGTGCAATCAAAAATGGGGGCGCTAACTGCTAGAATAAATGAGGCAGAAGAGAGAATCAGTAATATAGAAGATGAAATGATGGAAAATAAAGAAGCTGAGAAAAAGAGAGATAAACAACTACTGGATCACGAGGGCAGAATTCAAGAGATAAGCGATACCATAAGACGAAACAACATTAGAATAATTGGGATCCCAGAAGAAGAAGAAAGAGAGAAAGAGGCAGAAGGTATAATGGAGCAAATTATAGCAGAGAACTTTCCTAATTTGGGGAAGGAAACAGGCATGAAAATCCAGGAAGCACAGAGAACCCCTCTCAAAATCAATAAAAATAGGTCAACACCCCGACATCTAATAGTAAAACTTACGAGTCTCACAGACAACGAGAAAATCCTGAAAGCAGCTTGGGAGAAGAGATATGTAACCTACAATGGTAGAAACATTATATTGGCAACAGACCTATCCACAGAGACCTGGCAGGCCAGAAGGGACAGGCAGGATATATTCAGAGCACTAAATGAGAAAAATATGCAGCCAAGAATACTCTATCCAGCAAGGCTGTCATTGAAAATTGAAGGAGAGATAAAAAGCTTCCAGGACAAACAAAAACTAAAGGAATTTGCAAACACAAAACCAGCCCTACAGGAAATCTTGAAAGGGGTCCTCTAAGCAAAGAGAGACCCTAAAAGCAACATAGACCAGAAAGGAACACAGACAATATACGGTAACAGTCACCTTACAGGCAATATAATGGCACTAAATTCCTATCTTTCAATAGTTACCCTGAATGTAAATGGGCTCAATGCCCCAATCAAAAGACACAGGCTATCAGACTGGATTAAAAAACAAGACCCATCGATATGCTGTCTGCAAGAGACTCGTTTTAGACCCAAAGACACCCCCAGATTGAAAGTGAGGGGGTGGAAAACCATTTACCATGCTAATGGACACCAAAAGAAAGCTGGGGTGGCAATCCTTATATCAGACAAATTAGATTTTAAACCAAAGACTGTAATAAGAGATGAGGAAGGACATTATATCCTACTTAAGGGATCTATCCAACAAGAAGATCTAACAGTTATAAATATCTATGCCCCTAACATGGGAGCAGCCAATTATATAAGGCAATTAATAACAAAAGCAAAGAAACACATCGACAACAATACAATAATAGTGGGGGACTTTAACACCCCCCTCACTGAAATGGACAGATCGTCTAAGCAAAAGATCAACAAGGAAATAAAGACTTTAAATGACACACTGGACCAAATGGACTTCACAGACATATTCAGAACATTCCACCCCAAAGCAACGGAATACACATTCTTCTCTAGTGCCCATGGGACATTCTCCAGAATAGATCACATCCTAGGTCATAAATCAGGTCTCAACCGGTACCAAAAGATTGGGATCATTCCCTGCCTATTTTCAGACCACAATGCTTTGAAACTAGAACTCAATCACAAGAGGAAAGTCGGAAAGAATGCATGGAGGTTAATACATGGAGGTTAAAGAGCATCCTACTGAAGAATGAATGGGTCAACCAGGAAATTAAAGAAGAATTAAAAAAATACATGGAAACCAATGAAAATGAAAACACAACTATTCAAAATCTTTGGGATGCAGCAAAGGCAGTCCTAAGAGGAAAGTATATAGCAATACAAGCCTTTCTCAAGAAACAAGAAAGGTCTCAAGTACACAACCTAACCCTCCACCTAAAGGAGCTGGAGAAAGAACAGCAAATAAAGCCTAAACACAGCAGGAGAAGAGAAATCATAAAGATCAGAGCAGAAATCAATGAAATAGAAACGAAAAGAACAGTAGAACAGATGAACGAAACTAGAAGCTTTCCCCCTAAGGTCAGGAACGCGGCAGGGATGTCCACTATCACCACTGCTATTCAACATAGTATTGGAAGTCCTAGCCACAGCAATCAGACAACAAAAAGAAATCAAAGGCATCCAAATTGGCAAAGAAGAAGTCAAACTCTCACTCTTTGCAGATGATATGATACTTTATGTGGAAAACCCGAAAGACTCCACCCCGAAACTGCTAGAACACATACAGGAATTCAGTAAAGTGGCAGGATATAAAATCAATGCACAGAAGTCAGTGGCATTCCT